TTGTCTCTGACAGGGAAAAGAGACTGAACCATGAGAAATTATACGTAAATGGCAAAAAACGAGCAAATAGACGGATTTGGGTATCGTGGTACAGAACCAACTGCAGGTGGAAAATTGAAAAATATTAAGATGTGCAAACACTGGGAGAAATGGGCAGCATGTACAGTAGTGTGTATCAAGAAGTGAATACTGACGTAAGGAAAAGTGGCTGTCTATGGGACTTTTGGCCTGCTTCATTACATGGGAGTGAGGTTTGGGTATGTCGGGAGAAACACATAAGTCACCTGAGCGCAATGAGAATGGGGAACTTTAGACGTGTGTGTGGGATCACAAGAAGAGGCTGTGTGCTGAATGAAAGAGGGCCGAATGAACAGGGACTGAATCCAAAAGTGAGTGGTCGCCAACTACGTTGAAGTCATTTAATCATGTCGAGGGAATGGATGAGAGGACTGCAAACCAAAGAGATGAAGAGGGAATGGACTGAGAGGAAGGGGGAAACAGAAAAGTCAAGGTGGGATGGAACTGATGTGGTCACTAGAGACAAGTGAGAAGCCTGAAGAATAAAAAGGTAACGTTGCTTATCTCCAAAGGGAAGAGACTGATAGCTACGATAAAGAAGATGATCCCGGTCTCTTGAAGAAACACAGTCTGCAGTCAGGGATTTAGTCAGGAGTGCACGGAGCCACGTATTTAAAAAAACCGTCTATAATCCACGCCACCCACATCACAGGAGCTACTACAGCGTTAGCTCCCTGGGAGATACACCCAGCATTAGATGTGCTTGTGGACTCAATCCCAGCCAACAGCAAGAGCCAAGGAGAATGGAGTGGCATAGAAATCCCAGTAAATCAATCAATCAATCAGTCAACCAACCAACCAACCAACCAATCAATCAATCAATCAATCAGGAAAAAGAACTTTAACGTGTTCTTAACTTAGAAAGTCACAATGCATCCTGATTGAACGGTTTTTTAAAAATAGATATTCCTTTGAGTTCAGACGGTACCAACCCTACACGTTGCTGTCCTCTTAGCGCTTCCTGCACTCAAACATGCATTTCTTAGGCTATCACAGAAGCCCAGGAAAATGCCTAGGTGTTTATGGCAGGGTTTCTTAAACCTTTTGCTCTCGGAACCTTTCCCATTCTTAAAAATTATGGAGAACCCCAAAAAAGCTTTTGGTTGCATGGATTATATTTATCAATATTTACCCTACTAAACGTTGAAACTGACACAGTTCTAGAATAGTTATTTACTGAACCACGTAAAAATAACAATATGAAGCCAATGACACGTTCACATA